TCTTCCAAGGCTTTCTCTGTAATTTTGAGGGCTAGAAGAAAGAATCACTGTGAAGCTTAGCTTTTTAGGTAAGTCAGGATACTCCAGGAGATGGCGTATTGTGAAAACATAGTAAACCAGAATGCATTGGATCCAAAGGTCATACAAACAGATTTAACCAAGAGGTTAGGTTTGTAAATTAATACATGTAGGAATTAATGATATATTTAATGAACCTTAGTGACTGCATCTCATTGGACATCTCTCCAATAATCAGAATATTGACAATTGGGAAGGAACCAAATTTAACAGAACCTGAGGTAGAGACTTTTTATGCACTGAATGGATACCCATGCAAAGTCAACTCCCACTTACATCAGTCACCTCTTCTGAGAGTCAGGTAGCTCTTTCTCCTTGGATTTTCATATGCCTTTGCAGGCACTGTTAGCCTAGGAAAATCTGCCATATGCAATCCCTCTTTTCCTCACTTTTGTATGTGCAGCTGTGTGGCAGTGATAGCAGATAAAATCCCTCTAGTATAGGACATGCATTGTAAGTGTATCCAGCACAATTCTATATATGGACACTAGATAGAGCATATCTGTTTTTTCAGGGGATCTTAACCCAGACTGTCAATTGTCTTCTTCATGTAAAGACAGTGTAAAAAAAAAAAAAAAAAAATTAATAGAGTTTTCAGTTTAAAGTTAGGGAGTAGCAAAATTTCAGGAACACAGAAATGTAGATGCAGATGCTTACAAATAAAATTGTTATTTTATTTTATGGCTATAACTGAAGCAAAACTATGGAAATGATGTTGTAAATTTAATAATAACCATTCACAACAGTATTCTAGTCTCCACTTTTCCTGTGACATACTTCCTTTTTAAGCGTACCGTATTCTAAATTTCATCTCATGCTTTTACATTAAATGTGTCTTTTGGATAATCTTTGAATAATGCTATAAATTCAAGGAAGCCAAAAGACTATTAAACAAGTGCCTGGTTTTATTTATGATAGTAGGCACATGAGCAATACACTATGCTTAATATATAATAGCAGGCACAGCACTGTATCTATTGCATATTATATTTAAATGTTCTAACACCAGCAACTCTTGGTGAACTTTGTCTCAGGAAGCTACCTGCAACTGATAATGCAGAAGGAACAAACAGACCTATTTAAAAACCTTTACCAGAGTTAGGACTGCAACACTGGACGGTTAAGGCTGACACTTCCCAGAACAGAGCAACCACAAGATCATAGGAACATAGATCACAGTTTTCCAATTATGTACAGTCATACAACTATAATTGCTTAGGAAACACAGCATACACAATGCACTAGTTCTAGTCTGAAGGCTAGAAACTTCTTTTATTATTTGTATTTTGGCAAAGGATGTTGCCTGTAGCCTGGCAATTGGAATAAGACTGCCAGGGCATAACACAGCTGAACTGGGCATGTAGAAGACGTGTTACAATTGATCGTCTGTATTGTTTTGACGTTTATCCAGCTGGGTGTATGCCATTAAAATCAAGTGACAGTGTCATAAGCCTAAAGCCCTTCTTGATTCACGAATTCCCTGATTCACTTCTCAACAAAATTACAGCTGAACGATGCATCCCAGTTCATCAGGGGTGAAGTTCGGTTATGTGTGGGCTCGTTGGTATTGGTAGTTGAAACTAACTGATGAATTATCAACACCTCTATGAAAGAGCTGGCAGTGCCATTGTCACTGAGCACACCCAGTAATGCCTGGTTTTCAGATACACTTGAAAAAATGTATACCGCAGGCTACAAAGGGCCTTCACCCGTTTGTCTCTTGGGTTTGCACATGCTTTACAACCCCACTTTGTGTGGAAGGTGGAAAAAACAGGAGATGAGGAATAAGAAACTGTCTTCAACTGATAGCTAGGAGCTACCATGAATTGAACAGTAATTCAACAAATAACTAGTTAGAACTTGCCCAGCAGACGAGATGTGGCAGGTTGTATATTTTAACAGCAAAACCAAATCAGCAAAAGGTTTGGTATTCCTTACAAAAATCATTGTCCATAATGCTAAGTTATTTTGTTGCTTTGTGCTGGAGGGGGAGAAAAAAATATTAAGAAATTAGTAAATCTAATTATGATTCCATATATGAAGAGAAAGTTTTCTGTCAAAGATCCCAAGCTAATGAAATGCTGCAATGTCCTGACTGGGAATGGTGTAAGATTGCTTTAGGGGGAAAAAAAAATAATTGAAAAAGATGCAAAAATAAAAATTAAAACAAAAACAAACATACGCCACAGAAAGAATATGCACAGATAGGATTCAATAATAATACTCCAGCACAGGAATCAGTGAGGACTGGTCTCACTGCAGCAAGAGCAGGAGACTTTGGAACTGAAGTATGAAGTTGTATTGAGACTTTGAAGGGAAAGCTCTCACACCCATTATCCACATTATATCCAAGCTGTAACAAAAAGCCTCGTTGGCATTTTGCAAGAAAACATAATTTTTAAAACAATTATATAAATGGAAGTGAAAAAGTCCCCAAATGGCCATCTAATACTGCATCTCAAATTATTCAATAAAATTGCACATGCTGAATTAGGAGCTGAGGGCCAACGATATCGAGGAAGAAGAATCTTACCTACACAAATGTAGAACAGCCCCACCAAAGTAATCAGGCTTCAGGTTTTCAGAGATGTCAGAACTTTTAACTGGCCACTTATTTACTTATTTACTGGTTATTTACAAAAATGTGCTTCTGATCTGATGATTTTGGAGCTACAGCACTCGCTTATAATAGCTGTTTGTATCCTTAGGAATGCATGGAGGGACATGCTATTTTTACATGGAATTTCTTACCAATAACGTAACAATGTTATCAATCTGTGTTATTGATCATAGAAACCAATTTTCAATTTTTTTTCTCTTCCAATGAAGTTAGTTATAAAAAAAAATATATTCAAGCATTATAAGAGGAACTGGAAAAAAAATTGCACAAGTCATAGCTCTGTGGATGAAGCATCTGGGGTTTTGTGGCAGTAGAGCCATGGCTGGCAAGAGGAGGGACAAGTTGCAGAAGCAACACAAAACTTTTAACGGGCCCGACCTGGGAGCACAGAGAGCCATCCACAGAATTTCACACATAGGTCTTCACCTTCTTAATTTGCTTCCCTGCTTTGAATGGATAGCTTGGACTCCAGGCTTTTCTACACCAAGTTCATATACAGCTCTGGTTCCTAACATCTCCACGGGTGCCTGCCTATTCCCAAGGCAGGCTTGAGGAACCTCACCTTCTGACGCTTTTGACATGAATCCATTCATCATGTCCGTACCATTTTGCTGGTGCCTGATTTAGCCTGTGAGCTCTTTGAGCCCAAACAGGAGCCCACACTAGTGCTAGCAGGTATGAGGCAGAGCTCTGCAGTTTTGCCCAGAAGTTAAGGGAATCCCCAGGGAACATGCTGGGTAATTACTCCTCCCCAGGAGGTTGATAGCTGCTTACGTGGTATTCTTAATATCAGGGACATGGAATCCACCTGCTGGAAATTAAAGCAAATTAATCTTGCTCCATCAGAGCTTCACCCACAGAGAACTGACAGTTCCCAGATTCGCAAAGCCACAAGCAGATTGCTTAAGTTCTAACAAGTTTTGAAGCCAGAAAAAACCAGACTCACATCCATGAACACCATTTAAAAAAACCCAACACCTCTCAGCTCCTCTCTCAAGGACACCAAAAATGCTTTAAGTTTAAATTAAATTAAAATTAATGCTTCTATATCTATGACTAAAAGATACCATAAGCCAAGGTGGAGATTTGTCTGCAAGACTCTGGTGCTGACAATGAGAGGAATATACCTACACAACCTACCTGGTCACATCCCTGAAGTCCATGTGGGCTATGTAATAGTACCTAAAGAGCTGAGCAGCCTTCCCCATTCAATCTGCACCATGTCCTACCTACTCCATGAAGTCCCATTACTTTTATCAGGCATCATTTGTACTGCAGTAGTATCTGCAGACCTCCATCAAGATGTCCTGCATTGGGAAAACCTCATTATGCTAGAAGTCATAGGATACTATAGGAAATGCATAAAGGGGAGGAAAGCACTGCAGATTTCTCCTGTGGAGACAGCCCTTTAAGCTGAGAGCAGACTGCATTACCATAACCATAATCCTGCTCAGTGGCTGAGCTAGAAGCTTGCCCTGTAACAATATGTTTAAGGTTTCTTCTGAACAAATAAACTGGTAAGAGAAGATCTCTCAAGTCTGATGAAGATGAGATTGAGCTAAGAGGGCTTCGTGTTAAGTAAAAGCTTCATGTATAGCAGATGTCTGGGGGAGAGAAAGGAATTATATCCTATGGAGTTCATAGCTACCCATAGGGCAAACAAAGTGAGCAAGGTGGAAAGTGGCTTTAACGGGTGTGAATACACTTGTGTAATTGTTTCAGCTGGAAGCTCATAAGCAAAGGAATTCATTTCAAGGGGGAGTCACCTTTTTCAATTAAAAAAACCAAATGTATCACATAGAGAGTGGAGATTTTAACATTTATTTTTTTAAACTCCAATTTCCATTTTTTCCATAAACAGGCTTTGTTTAGTTCAAGAAGTTATAATGCTAACTACAGATAAAAGGAAATATTTTGTCACAAGACGGTGCCAAAGAACTAACAAAATAAACAGAATAAACAATCCACTTTACACATGCTGAACTAAAACAAAACTAACATGCAATAAACTTAATAAAATTCTTACTCTGTACAACAGCTTAAGGTAGTCCTTACTAAATAGTGCTCATGTCATATTAGTAGCATACACATATTAGTAAAAATAGATACTTTAACAAAATGCTTAATTCAAGCAAAACAGCGATGCAATATGAATCAACTCAAGAAGTTCAATGGTTCCAATGAAGCCAGAGATAGTGGTGAGTAAGCACACAACAGTGTACAAGATGAGGATCTCAACCAAGAGGTTGAACCTAGTGGTTCTTCAGCCACGTCTGTGTTTAGTTCCCTGCTGGAAAGCATATCACATTGACATCCTCTTGAGCTTATGGCTGTTAAAAGAATGAGAGAACACACATAAATAATGACCTCAGCAACAGGTCAGTTATAGGTTTCTCTCTCCAAGATATAGCACCTCCTGAAAGAATAGCTCAGGTAGAAAAAGGGAGATGTGACATGACTGTCCCCAAGAAGACTCTAAAAAGGAGTAGCCATGTCTGACAGGAGACGGAAAGACAAAGGTGTTCAGCATTGCCAGCAGAAGTGGCATTCAGGAGATGTAAGAAATGGGCTTTCGTACATGCTCTGTTTTCATCAGCCTAGTAGTATTTAGACTTTTAGATTCCTACCTCAGGAAAAGAAGATGCTTCTTCACCCAGCCTTCCTTAGGATTTACACAGGCGTTCAGCCCCCTGTAGGTGTGGAAACTGGAAAAGAAATAATGATAACGAGATCAGTAAATCATTAGAAAACCCTGCTAGTAAATACTGTGAAGATGCATTTGACCAAAAACGTGCATCATAGTTACTCTATATATTTGTAAATGCCACTTAGGGAATGTTGCACAACCCCTCCAAAACTATATGAACAAAAAGAATCACCGATGAAATTTAAACGTAATAGCTACCTCAGTTTCAGGGATCATTTTTTTGTACTGTAAAATTGTGTTCCATGTATTGGAACTACTGAGACAAAGAACTTTGCTGGATGCCAGAAATCATTTGTGAGACTAAGGACAATAGTTGCTGTCAAGCTAAGGTGACAGATCAACATCTAGGAGGGCTAAAACCTTGTGGAAATAAAATTCTGATCTCTGTGAATTAAGAAGACTCTTCTGTGTCTGTTAACAGGTTTTGGAAAGAGAACACCCTTTGTTGGCTAGAGTGGCCCTGGAGAAGAAGCATGTCTGTCTTTGCACAGCTGATTCCTAAACAGTCAGATTTATTGTCTACATTGTACAGCTGCCCCAGGAGTTAGTAGTCCCTACCGACTAGAGGTCGTGCATTTTGTTTGCAGGTACTATATACCATTTATTCAATTAATTTAACATTTTGAAAAAACAAGAAAAGTCATACTTATAATGTTCAAACCATTGCTTCTGCCCAAATGGACTTCCTAAAGTAAACACGTGTCAGAAAAAACGGAGGATCTTCTGAAAAGTAACTTACATGATCGCATGGATATCACAGACTTCACTGGAGAGCTGTTCAGTATAACCCTTGAGGGCCCACCGAGGCAGACGCACTTTGGTGTAAGACAGGCAACAATCCTGGTTGCTTTGAGCTGGAGTGAAGAAAAATGACAAAGTAAATAAAAGGCATTTGGACCATGCTGCCATGCTGCCCAGGGTACTCGCTGTTCAGCTCTCTGCCTATCCAGCTCCCCGCAGACAGAAGAGCAGGATTAGGAAGTATACTTTGCTGAAATAAATAAATCCCTTCCAGCTCGCCCCGCTGCCAGCATGCAGACCCCGGCACGTGCAGAGCAGCACCGAGAACCACTTCCTGGGGCCGAACGCCCGAGCCCACTCACCTTCGGAGGTGCCGCAGAGGAGCAGCGCCAGGAGCCCCAGCAGGGAAACCAGGGCCAAGCTCTTGCTGCCGAAGCCAGCCATTTCCACTCCACGCAGCAGCTGTGCTCCAGCGAGTGGTCGGCTGCCGCCTGCTCGACCTGCCAGCCTTGCCGCACCTCCACCTGCTTATAAAGGGGTGGCAGGAGCCGCGGGAATTCACACGCGGGCGGGTTCCACTGTCATCAGCGGGTTTCCCCACGGCAAATTCCATCGTGCCCAATTTGGCCCCAGCACACCTTCCTGGTGCTATAACCGGAGATAACAGCATGCTGGGGAATTTTTTTTTTTTTTTTTAAGTAGGTTAGAAGATTCAGCCAAAAAGAAAAGGAAATAAAAGGCTGTGAGGTAATGGTTCTGTGGGTGAAGTATGTGTATTTTTAGAGGTAGGAGTGTGGGTTGTGAAATGAGGAAAGTCAAATGTAGGTAACTCTCGATGTTACCTACAGAAACTGCGTATCTGCTGTGCTTCAGTTCAATAAGCCCAACTTGGGGGCAGAGGGAGGTACGCCCAACCCAGTCAGATTCATTTCAGTATGGCATGCTCACAGCAGCTGGGTAACTCTCTGCAATGATACCAAAGCACGACATAAATATTTACTGGTTGGCTTTCCAGATTACTGCTTTTCTGTAGTATCGGTGAGGACGTGAGCAGCATTGAGTATTCATGGAATTCGGTTTCTTTAAGAGTTTCTTTTACCATATATATATTGGCTGCCATCACTTTGTTACGTATCTGAACTATTTCATCTGAAAGAGATTTAGCTTAAGAGCAAGTTGAAACGGGGTCTGTATTTTCTACTGAATCTGTACTGCATCGATGCTGCTTCATCAGCAATAGCTGTATCTTGTTCCATTCCCATACCGAACTGTACCTCCATATTGTGACTCCTGAACATTCAACTAAGACACACACAATCTTAAAACTGCCTCACATGGCCTGGGAGAAACCCCTGGACAGAGGCTCTGTCATCACTGCAAGTGCACTGTTTGAGCCGCTGCTGAAGGCTGTTACTTTCCAATGCAGTTTAGTGACCCATGTGAAATGAATGGGGTGGCTGCAGGCCATGTCGTGGTCAGCTGGTGTACACAGGAGCTGCCACCAGCTCCAGGTGGTTATAGAGTAACCTGAGCTTTAAGTAGCTTCTCTTAAGGTAAAGCTCAGGGGGACAGTCATAGTTCATAATTACATACCTTCTGTTCTTCACAGACTGCCAGTACCTCTCACGAAGGGTGTGTTCCTATTATTTCTTCCCAGAAATGTAAAAAATTTGAATTCTAGAACAGATTGTTATTCAGAGAAATTAATTTCTCTGTGTAATAGCTAGAATTTAGGGAAGCTCGTATGGCTGCGGTACATATGAGTGGCCTTGCAGCATGCATGGCGTCACATATGTTGGAGATGCTTCTCCTCAGAGCCACTGCCATTAGCCAAGGGACAGGGGAAGAGGCAATAAAGATCCTATGCCCTGATGCACGCTGCTTTTTGTAACTGCTTAAGGACCATAGTGAAATACCATAAAAATGCATAAAGACCAATGCCTTCCATATGCAGCTATTTCTGAACTGTTTTAAGGACTGTCTGTCAGCATCAGGCAGTACTACAAAACAGCTAACTAGACTGGTAACACCCGAGATGACGGAATTTTGGCTTGATAACTTTTTCCTTTCCATAAAGATAGGAATAGTTAACTATAAATCACTTATAACTCTTTCTAGATTGAAAGGTATCGAGAGGCATCAGGCTGGCAGTAAGCAATTCTCTACCTTCCCCATCAGCACCACTTTTTTTCTTCTTTTTTTTTAAGTGGCTGTCCAGTAACAACCTGGGATTTTTTATTTACTTACTATTTTTTAAGCAGGAGTTCATACAATCCAGTCTCTATCAAGCAACTGCCTTTAAGAAGACAGGAAAATTAGGCATTGGGTTATCAACCCGTACTCTTCCACTTTCACCCTCCCATTTCACTCTAGTGTCAATACTAGGAAAGTCGCCACCTGCTTTAGAAATTTCTAAGATTGTCAAGATAATAACCGCATCTTCTTATCCATGGATTAGTATCAAGAGCATCAAAAGCACTAGGCAAACAATAATTTTAAAAATTGCTAACAAAGCCGCCTAAAAAAAAGAGATCAGTTGGTCTCCTGTCTTACTAATGTGCTTGTTACTCCCTAAGTTCACCTCTCCCCCAGTAGTTTGGAGACTTGAGACATAACTGATTAGGATGATTATAATGTTTATTGATTAGGCAGCACAACTTTTTTAAAAAAGCTAATATCTTAATTAGCTAATAAAAATACCACTATTATTAGCAATATTACTTCACAATTATATCACTTCAAGCAATATGGGGTTGGTTACAATTCTATTGCTTACTGTTAGTATTGATACAGTGGTTACATTAATATATTGGTTAAATTATTATAAAGAAAACTGAAAAATCACTAGTAAGTGCTATTAAGTTGCAATTTTGCTGCCTTGCCTCCTGCACTGAGTACGAAGGTACGAGTCTATCCTTCCTTACAAGTTTATCCCTGCGTACTGCCCCTTCCTGCACTGTCTTTCAGACACAGACCTGGTGGAGAGCCTGGCGGGTTGTCTACAGGGGTTGTCCCCAGCATCCCGAGGATCTTGGGCCCCTGGGCCGGCTTCACCACTGCGGTGAAGGCAGCCGCACTCCTCCTGTCACAAGATACTCCCATTTCTTGCTCTCCTCCATTTTATACCCTAATTCCCCATTTTTTCCTTTTCTTGAACTCACCTTTTCACCACCCCTGCATCTCCTTTCCTCTGCTGAAGCTCCCCCCAAATAAACAACTCACCCCTCATTCCTTTTCCTCATTGGTCCCAAATCTATTACACCCGTACCCAACTTTGGCGTTTCTTACGTCATTTCCTAGGCAATTACAGCTTAACATGTGATTATTGATGCAGTTCTCTAGGTGTGCAGAGGTGTTCTCTGCAGTTGGCCTTGCATCTCAAGTCTCCCTTCAGACTCTACAGCTCTATTTCTTCACCATTCAGTGCTTTTTGGACAGAATCTTCTCACCTGGGCTTTGACACCCCCACCTGCTCCTCAGCAAGCAGAAGCAATTTGGGTACCAGAGCAACGACGTCAGCCGTACTTCTGCCCTGGGGCGGTTTTCATTGCACCCCTGGTTCCCACCAGAGGCCCCGGCTGCTGTTGTGCCTCATGTTGCAGCGGGACTCTTGCTCGTGGTACTCCTTTTATCTCACGGTTTGTTTGATTTAGGAAATTGCGTTAAGATTTATATTTAGACCAAAAGCCACGAGGAAGTCCTCAACTTCAGGAGCACTGTCCTTTTATTTGTACTTAGTGTGTACAAAGCACCTTCAGTTTATCTGCACAAAGTAGTTTTGATTTTTTTTTTTTTTAAAAGATTTAATGCAAACGGCCGAAGTTGCCTGCCAGGTCGTGATATGACTCATAGCCATATCTTATCGGTCTTTACATTTACAAGTCCGTAACGCAAACAGAAGGCAAAAAATAAAAAAATGGGGAGGTGCTTATGTATTCGAGGGAAGTGGTTGTTCCCTGCGGACGAGGGGACGGTGGCTGTTGTCCACCCCGATGCAGCGAGACTATGGGCCTGGTTTCCCTTCGCACCTGCGTGACCAAATGGGGCCGCGTGGACTGGCCGGGGGACTGCAACGCAGGTGAGACTGGGCCGCCGGGCTCCAGGGAGGCAACCAGCACCTCAGGTTCAGTTCACGGGCCAGTTGGGGGTGGTCATTGGGCCAATACATCGTGTTTCGTGTCCTAACGCGGGTGCGATTAGGAGGCTGCGTGTGGAGTGGGGGTCAGCGAGGGGGCTGCCGGGTGGAGGGAGGCCATTATTTCCCTGCGCTGGGGCCTGCGAGGCTGCGTGGGGAGGGCCGTGCCCAGAGTCTCCTCAGAGGGGCCCAGCCAGAGCACAGGAGGCAGCAGCCACAAGTTGTGAAAAGGGAAATTCTCATCAGACATAGTGAAAAACCCTGCTGAAACCCTGGTGAAGTGAGGAGTGTGATGCACTGGGACAGGTTGCCCAGGAGGGGATGTGAAAGCCCAGTTTGAATACTCTCAGGGATACTCAAACCTCAGCTGGACGTGGCCCTTCCCTGAGCATGACCTTATCCTGGGGTTCCTTCTCAAACCACGATCAAGCCCGCATTATTTTTACTGGGACTGCGATATCTAACTCTCCTTTTCTCCTTTTAGTTTCCTAACTTATGTGTCTCTTCCCAACTTCCCTCCCTCCTGTTGTTCCTCCTCAGATCCCCTCACAAACCCTGTTCTCCCTCCCTGTTGCTTCACTCACAGTAAGACAAAGCGCCAAAATGACAACGTTTTCAGCCTCTCCTAAACCTCCTCTCCTGTTGTTCCAGGGACCAGAGGGAACAGGCCAAACGCCTGCTGTATGTGTTATAAAAGATGAGGTGAAGATAGCCTGGGTGCCAGTGCTGTAGAGCTGTTCAGTTAGAGCTGTGAAAGGAGAGGAAAGGCATGAGGGAAAACTGAGCCTTTTCTAAGGAAATATTGGGAAACTGGTAGTTCTGCACAGTTTGGGGATGTAAAAGATGAGAGCTTGGATACCAGCTGCAAAGCTACAGCCTCCCTGTCCGTGCTTTCCCTGGTCACCAGGCTGCTGTCTCCTGGTAATAGGCTTCCTCTCTTTTATCCCAAAGGGCTTTCACTCACACAAGTACCTGCTGAAAGTCTAAAGTGCTGAAGGGACTTAATAGTTCAACCTTGATAAACACCCCTGTACCAGTGGAAAAATAGGCATTATTTCAGGGGAATGCAGTCCCCCCCATCACTCTCCCCGTTGCAGAGCAGTACAGAAGCAAACCGCCAGGTTTCCAGGTACATGCGGAGTTGTGTCAATAAAGCTGTGTCTGTTTTCATTCAAAATCTTGCATATGAGAAGCCATATGCACATGGTGAATTCAGAACTGTACATGCTTTGGAAAACAGTTTGAAATGCTTTGAAACTCTATCCCCACAATGGTAATCTACTTGACTATGCAGCTCTGCTATGAAATC